CCAGAGTGTTGTTCAGCATGGGGGTGAGTAGAAAATGAAGGCTAATCATGTTTTGGGTGTACTATTCCTTTAAGGTTTGTTTGCTCAGGGACCCAGAGTGGCAGTCTGTGGGTTTCGAACTCACAATCTCAGAATTCCAAGCTCTCCGCCCGCTTTGTCATCACCCACATTGCCTACTGATGGTGGTCAGAGGCCCCCGGGGCCCAAGTGTACGGCGCCCTCTGTGAGCCCCCGGGGACATCCACCATCATTGGGTGCATGAATGGATGAATGTAGAGTTGACTTAACCAAAGCGCTTTCTACACTGCAAAAAATTTAAATTTAATAAGTAATTTTTTCCCAAACTAAGTGTATTTTTTATTGAACTAAGGTGGTAATTGAGAAACTTTGCCAATGGAACGAGACAATTTACATTTAAAATGAGAAAAAAATATAGCATTGTCTTATTTCAAGTGCATATAATCTAATTATCTTATTTTCAGAGTAAAAATACTCATTCTATTGGCAAATAATCTTATTTACCTACTCAAATTAAGGGTAAATACACTAAATTTAAGACATTATTACTTATTTCTGGATCGTTTTTGCAGTGTAAGTACAGGACATTTACCATCAAAAGTCATTAAATTAAGTTTTTTTCCTCAGACTTATTCATTAGTTAGTTTAGGTAGGACAAAAGCTTTGAAATTCATTCCGTAAAGCTGTCAAGGAGGCGCAAAAGTTATTTGCTGGTGCTTACAAACACATTTTATTTCAGAATTTTTATATTCGTATATTTATATTAGCTTATTTGTTCAAACAATGTATATCTTTATTTTAGAATCTATTTCTTTATATCCCAGACTCTTTATTTCAAGTCCTTTATTTTTTATGACGTTATTGTATTTAAATGAATGGGGAGAGCTTTAGGTCAGTGGTACGGTCAGAGCTTTGCAGAGTAGGAGTAAAGATTTGATTTAGATAGAATTATTTTTGTGCAAAAAAATCAAAATTCTGTTAAATAAACAAACCAGATTAATTCTATACTTTTCACCCAGTCCAAATAAACTGCAGAAACGACCATATAGCCTCAGCTAAGACACAACATAAGGCTGACAAGCACCAACAGCTCACCAGCTGCTTCTAGCTGAGCAGTTAGATAGATAGATAGATGCTATCTATCTATCTATCTATCTATCTATCTATCTATCTATCTATCTATCTATCTATCTATCTATCTAATGAGTTTCTGGTTCTTACTGATTTGCTTACAAAACAAAGAAATAGACACCTACAGATAGACATGATTAATAAACACATATATTTACAAAACAAAATTTAACAAAAATCTTTATTTTGAAAAAAAAAAAAAGAGTTGTATGTATAAATTAGCAATTAAATCGCGGTAGCTCTGTATTAAA